TAGGAGGTACCAAGGGTCGAAGTTATTATCATGGGCTGGGTCGCATGGGCCATGACTCTCACGTATTTCAAGATGAATCCAGCTCTTCCGGGAATAAGCCATTTTGCGCCAACTGGTTCTCCAAACTTCCAAAGGATTCATCGAAAGTCTGTGCATCTGTTTACATCAACGTCTTGAGTTATGCGAAGCTATTAAGTCTTGACTGTTTCTAATCGTGATCCATGACTGTTAAAAAGTATGACGAGGTATTGACGATGACGGAAATGAATATAGTAACGAATCCCGTAAACGAGATCATCGCCCCAAAGTCTCGCACGCAACACAAGTAGTTGAACAGGAGGTTGTAAGGATTGCGCCGACAAGTTTGTCGACGCAAGCCGATTGCATCGACAGCTCTGTCGATGCAAGCGCGGCCAGCCGATGCTGGAGCACTGCATAGGAGCTGCAAAGAAGACAGACGCAGTAAAGGAGGAACATGAGATTAGCCTTTACACTAGCACAGTGAACTAAACGTAATTCACCTTCCGATTTGCCTCCGACTTCCGACCGCTACAGCTTTGGTCCTAACGTTGCCATATCTATGCCAAGTTACTCAGTGATAATCATGTACAATCTAGTCTGTAAATTATGAATGAGCTCATGGACGTAAGCTCAAGCTAGAAGCCCTTTACTAAGCCTTAAACACAGTGTAATTGAAATTTGTCGATGAAGGATTTGACCGTTCAATCGGGGAAATCAAGTCACCACATCTTAAGCAGTATGATTAGCTGAGTTTGTTTTCGTATGTACATATGTAGTTATGATGAATGTAAAATAGACATATAGCCACTACGTCGTTTTTCGACAGTATTGAGCCGCGTCATCTCAACATGCTGACATCGTAGAAAAATGCCATTCAGTCTAACCTCTCACTTGCTTTTTTTGCTATTCGAGTCTCGGATTTCGCGAGTATGCAACAGATCGATATATTTGACGATAGCGTAGAACCTGATTTTTTTGGCAACTTATCATGAATATCACGCTAAAGTCTAGAATATAACTCCTTGGAAGATGCACTAAATATTACGCTTATTGTTATAATGCGTCTGCGTGCGAGATCACTTATTTAGTTGGATGCTCCGCGTCAGAGCTGATCATGTATATACGCGCTAAGAAATGCTAGCTTGAATGCAGTATGATGCAGATTTATGATACGAACTCAAATTAGCCTTTGAATCAAATTAGGATAACTTCACTTTCCCGATTGAATGGATAATTCCTCAACGAGCAAAGATAAACTGCACGGGGGGAGGGCACACTCTGGAGTTACTTAGCAGAGATCACGTCTTACCATTCTGTGTGAGATTTAAGGATCAAATCGGAAGTTATCACGACAGCGGAACTAGGCACTAAATTGCCATTGTTCAAGAAAAAACATAGCTTTTTTGCAGCGGGGCTGCTGTAGCTTTGCGCTTAGAGGAAGCGTAAGTTAGGTCACCGACCTTTCGTTCT